TAGATAATTTTCTCTGATTAAGTTTCCAGTTTTGCAGAGTAATGTAAAATAAGTAGAGGAGAACAAAGAGCATATTAACATGAATGCACCACAATCTGATGAATAAAAGCAACAGCTTGAAAACAAAGAAGAATCAGCAGATTATTGTGCAACATGCAGCGCTGTCCTTCCAGCACCAACATTTTAATTTACTCAACAAAGACTCCCCAGCTGTGTTACAAGCCGGAGCCCAGCTCCCTGAGGTCAATTCGATTTTTACTGGGACTCTGGTACTTGAGCTGAAGGCCTTGATGGTGAGAGAGCACAGTTAATCGACTTTCTTTCTTCCTTGAGCTGTTGTTGTACAAAATTATTATAGATTCTCTGAGAAAAAAAAAAATCTGAGCTGTGGCTCCTTTGTGTTTGAGGTCTATAGTAAAAACACAGTGCAACGGTGGCTTCTTAAGAAAACCTGGCCTTCGCAATCAAATGCAATTTCACAAGCTCCTTAACAAACAACTGTCTACTTTGTTGACACAATGCATGGTTGCTTCTATACCTATTTGGTGACCGGTTGGGAAGAAGTGAAGCCAAGAAAGGTAACGACTCAAAGAAGATTTAGAAAAAAAATGTAGTTGGTCACTTTCAACTTAGGTGGGTCAAAAAATCCCAACCAAGTGCCACAAAACAGTTCCTCTTTCTCTCTATGCTTTTATCATCTCAACTGAAGCTTGTTTTAAGGATTTTTAATGATTTTTTAAGGAATTTTAATTCTGAATAGATTCAGCAGTGTCACTGAGGAGATAACCTTTCAGTCTCATTGTGTCTGTTAAGATATTCCTAACCGTGTTGCTCCAGAGAAGGCTAGACATTCGATCATCAGATTGGAACCATGGCTAAAAGATAATATCCAAGGTATTAAATGGAAAGGCTTGCTAACTCTTACAACTATTGAGTTTTTTTCTTTAATCTTCCCCTCTGGAAGCTTCCACTGAACTGTGTGAGATATTTCTAATGATCTCAGAACATCCAATGGTTAACAGCTGGTTATACACCAGCAGTGTGTCGCAGTGAGCTTGTTGCATATATTTATGATTCATGCCCAATATTGAAGCGTGTTCTGCGCTATGTTATTCCATGCCACAAAACAAGAGGGTCTAGATACGGTCTAGATACGGCCGAGACGGTGAGGAAGTGGGAAGTTTGTGCGACAAAGGAGGGACATGAGGGTGAAAAAGAGCGGGGATCCAGGTGGAAAAAGGCTCCCAGCGTTCTTGCGTACCTCGCTGGTCCGTCTTCACGAGTCGTTTTCCACAATGGCGGTCATACAAACAAAACAAGCCGGTAAGGTACCAAACAGGAAATATGCATAGAGTAGAACGGATGTAGATTTGACCAATCAGAGGCCTCCTGTCTGTCTCACCTATAATTTTGGAGAGGTGCAGCAGAGTGTCTGTGGCAGAGGAACATTTGCATTCACAGTGACACACACGCAGACGACCTGATTTCTGAGTATAAATCAGCCTTTAGACTGCTGTGGTGCAAAGATGTCTGCATTCATACGAGCGCAACCCACTCCTAAGTAATAATAAATAGCCATTTTTAAAGCAACACAAACATAAAGATTGAGACTTTCCATTCGTAGATGATAATAATTAAGATACTTATGTGTAATGCATTACATTCCTGTCTGTAAATCCCTGTAATTACTACACACTGGAGCTTTAAATGAGAAGACTAAAAAGCTTACTGTTCCACTGAGAAGAAAAAACAGGAGGCCAAGAATAAACCTTTCCTTTAAGGATTTATTTGATTTACAGATTGCCGCTAATCTGGGAGTGAAATCAACCCTTCCATGAAATTACAGTCATATAGAAAATCGTTAAATCCTGCTTCTTTTAATTTACATGCCTGCCTACAATAACGCCCATGATGCCTACAGAAACTAGACATCAGTAATATGTGCTTTCATAAAATCCAGGCTTGACTCCCGCAATGCACTTCTTTATAGAATCAACCAGAAATCCATTGTATGTTTGTAACTTGGGTCAAAATGCTGCAGCCTGATGTTTAAATAGTAAAGGCAAAAGAGAATTAGCAGCTTTGAATTTTGGTTCACCTCTGAATATATTTCTAAATCCTCCAGTATGCGTAGAAAATGCTTAAACAGTTCAACACCCTCTCGTTTTTCTGATCTGCTCAAAGGTGACAGAGAGGAATAACACCATGAAATGATTCACAGCTTCATTTCAGGCAGGCCAACTCTCTTATTGTTTTTAAGGCTTGTTTGAAAAACACACTTTTATTTCCTGGCCTTCAAACCAGTTTGAGTTGTTCACTTCAATGTGCTTTTATCATTGCAGTCGTTGCAATGGTTACTTATTTTCTACCTTGAGTCATCTGCTTTTTTTGGTCACAGCCCTTTGTTTCATCATGACAGAAGAAAATCTTTGGAAAAGCAGCATTTTTGAAGTAGTCTTTTTTTTTCCTCCAGTTTTTTAAAATTTTAGAGAGACTTCTGATAGAGGGTGTCATGGATGGTCTACCATTTTCCATCAGATTATACTATAAGAAATCCAAAGTACCTCCATCAATTTTGTACTTTTTACACATTTCGTTAACAAAAACAATCATAAGAGGTTATAAATCTAGTAAACAGTCCAATGTGGAATGCCCTTGCTACCCTTCTAGCTAATGTGAGAGACACGGCTGCTGAACTCTCAGCCTCCCAGTATAAAGTAAAAAATTATACTTGACCTGGTTTATTTAGCAGAAAGGGAGCATGGCTAACATCTACCCTCGTTTTAGCGCTGAGAACCAACCTCCAGCCATCTGTCGCAGTTATTAACCTGGAAATCATGAGCCGTCTGATAAAACCTGGTACACTCGACTTGGCCATTAAAGGGGATTTTTTTTAGATACTCTGCATAAAAAAGGGCCTGGTAATACTTTAATTTTACCATTTTCCCAAGTAAAGGAACTCATTACGAAGAGGTTGGATTTGTGAAGTACTGGGTCACCTTAATTTAATCTGAAAATGTTCAATCCTGTAATCTGTAAGCAGAGAGATGAATCCAGGAGGTGATGATAAGTATAAAGCTTTCTAAAGAGAGCTGGAGCCATCCCAGGTTCTGAGGCTGAAGAACCAGTTTTCCTTCTTCATTAGCTTTATTGAATTCAAACTATGCTAATGTGTGAGCTGTTCCTGTTATCACTGGAAAAAAATAAAATCTAGATAAATAATTTTTTCTTAAAATATGCATTTGTTATTGGATTGAGGAGGTAAAAGAGACATCTTAAAATAAGAAAACACAATTGTATTGTCTTATTTAAATTGCATATTATATAATTATAAGAGTAAAATACTCATTCCATTGACAAACTATCTAATTTACCTACTCAAATTAAGGGTAAATACACTTAATTTAAGACATTTTTACTTATTTCTAGATCATTTTTTCCAGCTTTAGATTAATCTTTCCCTTCAAAGTTGCCTGTTTTGATATGGATCATCTGCTCTGCTGACTGGTTCTGTTGCATATATTGTAACTTTACTTTCCTTCCCCGCCGCTGTTTGTATTATGAGTATTTTACTGCAGAATTTGTCAAACCTAATTATTTTTTTCCCCATTAATACACCTTTTATAACAGTTTTTTGTTCAGAAAATAACAAAGGCAAAAAAAGAACACCTCAAGACAAAAGCTGAATGTTTTAAAGAGCTGGACGGCAATTCAAAGATAAATCAGGAATATCAATAGAGCAACCGGGCCTCGGACACACAGAACGCCACTGAGTGGAAGAGGATTTCCTTTTTCAAGGTTCAACATCTTCCTTTATCCCTTTTCAGTGAATAATAAGCATGAGTCCGCTGAGATTTAGAGCACTCCAGCTGTTGGAATCCAGTCCCTGACTTGTTGAGGACCCTGGATCCCACTAGTGCGGCACACAGGCCCAGAGGTGGTGAGACGAACAGCAGCTCCACAGAGAATGCAGGGGACAGAAACGGATAGCGATGGAAAAGACAAGGAAAGACGGCGCAGAAGCTAGACCCCCACGCAGCTGCTCATGTTCTTCAGGGAACCCAGGCGAGAAGCGTTACTCAAGCGCTTAATTCCTCTAATATGTGCAGTCATGCGGTGTTCAAGGTGGGGAGGGGTGGGGGGTTGCGGCAGAGCGAGTCCTGAAATTCTCCATCCATGGGATACATGAGGGACCAGCTTTACAGGGCCTGGGCAACTGGCCGCTGGCGACATGGAACCGGGTAGTAGGCTATGCTGAGACAACCACTGAGACCAAAAGCGCTGATGCCCACCACTCTGATCCGCAACAGTATGTTAGAAAAGCTCTATGTATGCCAGCACAACCAGAAGCCAGAGACAGAAGGTGTGTGCCTGTAAATACATGAGATGATGGCGAGTTGGGGCTGAGCGAGGGGGACCCAGATGGACTGAATGAGGGGGAAAGGACATCTTGGTCCAAATGTAAATGATGGCAACCACCGAACGTCAGGATCTGGTACCGGTTGTCCAACTTGGACTCATTGAAATAACTCCTCAATCTTGTGTGACTTAAGGCCGCCATTGTGGAAAACGACTAGTGAAGAGCGAGGTGTGCGAGAACGCTGGGACCCTTTTTCCACCTGGATCCCCGCCCTTTTTGGCCCTCATGTCCCTCCGTTGTCACACAAACTTGCCCCCACTTCCTCACCACCTCGGCCGTATCTAGACCCACAGCTAATTCCTGATTGTCCCTCTTGCGTTGTGAATAACATGGCGCAGACCACGCTTCAATATTGGGAATAAATCAAAAATATCTACGATAAGCTCACTGCGACACACTGCTGCGGGAGTATAACCAGCCCTTTAGAGGGGGGAGAAAGCTATCGCCAGTAGGGAGCAGCTGTATAGTAGAACATTGAGCTAAAAACTTTTTAAAAACCATTTAAGTCATAAAAAAACTAATATTCATGGAGGAGGAGAGACTGACTGAATCTCTGCATCTCTGAGATGTCCCAGCTTACCTGATACTGCCTTGACTGAATGCTTCTGTAAAAAGTCGAGGGTTTGAGCCAAAGCCTTTTTGTTGCAGTGTGTAGAGAGCTCCTCGTTACATTCGAAGCACCTGGAAAAAGCAGGGAGGACAGAAATAACTAACACAGAAAGAATTCAATTAAACCTACAACCAAAATATACCACTAATTAAAAATTGTATAGAATGTACTTTTACTAAGATGAAGCTCTAAGGTGCCGTTATTCAACACCAAAACCATTGTGGATTGGAGGACAGTCATTTGGTTAATGTGGGTTTGTAAATATGTTTAGTTGGATAAAAAAAAAACTGTGACTGTTTTAAAAAATAAAGATTTGTTGTTCCTACTTTTTTTTTTTTATTGTCAGTGTTTCAGTTCTCTGGATTCACATTTTTTCATCATCAACCCACATCGCCCTACCCTCTACCCCGGGGTTCTCACCAGGCCTTCCACGTGTTCAGGCTGATTGTGATGCAGTGTGACTCTGGATGGAAGGTCTGGTGATGCTTGACGGCGTGCTGGATTCCTGACTGGTTACAGCCCTGTAAGACACTTCCTTCAGTCTTCTTTGTATAAAAAGGATTTTTTTATAATAAAGCGTATATTTGTATATTGTATAAAGTGTATATTTTATATTAAAATATATATTAAAGTGACGTCAGACTTGAGCTGGGATCTAGTCGCATTAAAACCACAAACTTCAATGTATTTAATTGGATTTGTAATATTAAAGGTGCCAAAAAAAAGCTGTTTAGAACTGTGAGAGAAAGGGAAATCTGTTGATGCTGTTTTAAAAAGAAGCCATCTTACTTGAAAACCACATTTTAGGCACACCAGGATGTCGTGGGATGTGGTCGACTCTTCGTCGATCATCGTCCTCTCCCTCAGACAATCGGAGCAGACCAGCCACACGCTCGACAGGACAGACTTTTTCACCGAGCTCAGGTCCACAGCTTTATTTACATGCTGGCATGTTAGTCCTGGAAAACAAACAAACACTCTTCACATGAAAGACTTTCTGAAGCTTTTATTGTTGGATCATTTATTCAGGGCCTTTAGCTTTTGAAAAATCATCAGAATTACAGAGGAATCCATGATTCAAATGGAGGCAGTGCTGAGTTTCTTACAGCTTGAAGTAATGCTTAATAAATTGTTTTGCCAAATAACCTACTGAAACTAAAAAAAAAAAACATAAAAAAAAAAAACATTTTTTAGAAAAGCAAAAAATAAAAAAAGAGTAACTTTTATAGCCCTGACCTTTCATCTGTTTCTCATTTTAAAGTTGTTTATTCCACGCTTTTAGAGTCAAGGTTTGGGTCAAAATCAATTCTGTTTTCAAAATAATTAAAAAGGAAAAAGAATAAACTTCAAAATCTACTGAAGTAGGCATGCAGAAAGTAAGTCTGAATGCAAAGTAAACTGGATATTCAGTTTATAGGTGGTTGCAATCTTTAATAGATGATGACGTTAAGAAAACAAATGAAAGATTATAACAAGTCAAGGTTTATTTTTAATTATTCTGGCAATTTAAAAAACCTCAGCTGCATAAAAAGAAAGCTAATAATGTTACAGATTGTGATCTGATTATTTTTTACCATCTGTTCAGAAAAATGCTAACATTTTCTATTAGTGGTGCAGCACTGCAGTTAAATTTGTTACCTAAACTCAAGAGGCTCCATTTTTTTTTTCTCTTCAATTCATACTGAACCATCATTATTTAGATCCTGGTGGAATCAGGAGTGACTCACCAACTTTAAATCTTCCACTATAAGCCCAGCCTTTACTTACCACTGACTTCGTCTGATGACTCCTCATCTCGAGGTTTCCGAGGTTTATTTGTCCGCTTTGTCATGTCTGCGGCTTTCAGAGAAAAGGGATCCTTTAGCCGCATCTGGAGCTCTGAAAGTGAATTTGGAAGATATCGTGATTTGTTTTAATTGAAATAGCAAAAACTGTCTTAGCACATGTTTTTGGGGAGTTTGTCAAAGCAATATAATAAGGATGTTTTCAGGGATCCTGCAGTAATGAGATCATCTCCTTGTTTCTGTGGCTTATAGAGAAACTTTCATTTATAGGAACTGGATTCAGTCATGATATGTTTGACGTCATTGGTCTCGCTTTCATCTATAAGAAGAAAATGTATAAAATGTTGCCTTAGTTCATAAAAATTAGAGGATTCGGGCTTTGAAACCTTTGAAGCATTTTCATTTCTTTTTTTTTTTCTCCGTCAGTCTGCTGCAGACTCTCTGCCTTGAAATCAGTCCTCTATTATCCCGCCCACTTTGATAGAAAACCCTTCTGTCCTGCGGCATTAGGAACAGGTTGGAATGAGACTTTATGGTTAATTTGATGAGTCGATTCAAAGGTGTTCTAAAAATCAAAGCAGGCCCTAACCATCAGTCTTCCTCGGCCTTGCTTGGTAGTTGTTAGAATCTGTCTGGGCTAATATACAGTGCATCATTTTGTTTTCTACCAATTTGTGACTGTTTATAATAGTCAAACAAATTTCCTTCTCATCTGTGTAAAGGAATTTTCTCTAGAAGCCTTGTGGTTCTGATACCACTTATGTAATGTACGTCAGGTTTTCTAATTTATTTTTAAGCAAAAAACTCTTCTGCTGACTTTTTTCAAACAAGACTACTCAGACGCCTGCTTCTTGACAGCTGTTTTCAATGCTTTCTTCTGGATACCCTTTGTGGCCTTAGAAAACTGGACATTAGTTTGTCTCTTAGCTGTTGAAGTCTTTCCACTTTTATACTTTTGAGCCACCGAGGATTTAAACCAAAACAAACAAAACAAGCCTCAAAAGCTGGAGCATATGGGGGAAAAGAACTAATAAAACCCAATGAGAATACATGAAGGGTTCATACACAATTTTGATGTAAGGCTATATTTTGTATGTAATAGTCAGACCATCTTCATTTTTTAAAGGCATAAGAACAAAACTTGAAGATGAAATTAAAACAGTTATACTGAAATTAGTATAGCTTAATATTTAGATATTAAACAAAAACATAGTCCATAAGATGGATGGATGGCTGGCCGGCAAGATGAGTTTTAAATTGTCAAACAGATAGATGAACCCCTGAACAATAGACAGATATACCGATGTGTGGCAGACAGATGACAGAAAAAAAATAATGGATTGATAAACTGATAAAAAGGTCATAATGAGGTGAATGAATTAACTGAAATGCATGAAAATGATGGGAATTCTGTGAAAACACAACTATTTTTAAAAAATCTGCTTTTTTTGCCAAACACTGTTAATATCTATTATTTTATCTTTATTAATTTATCAGTCATTTAAGACTTGTACAAACCCAAGGATGAATGGAATAGTTTCATGCCAAATTGTAGTGATCAAGGTCATAGAAATCATTTATAAGGGCAAAAACCTTCAGTTTTTCTGACGATTTCAGGGCTGAATAACTTGTATGACTTTTATGCTGCCACTGAGATCCAATAGATATTTGTTGAAGTAATAAATCTAATATCCACTCATCATATTTAGCGCTGACATATTTATACATTTAGATCAAGTCTGAATGGTTGAACGGAATAAGTTATCGACACACGAGTAAAGCATGACAGTTGAAGAAAATGAGTGTATTAACATTTTTCATGTTCTACTCAAGAACAAGGACAGGAGGCCTAGACACAGCTGACAGCTTAATAAGGTTTGTGTATAAAACCTTTGTGATATTTACATAAGAAATCTACACCTTCAAAAGTATTGGCTTTAAGACAGATTAAGCTCACCTCTTTCAGCTCACTCCTTTGCTGTTAGCTGAAGCCCACAGTAATGTCTCAACTCCCCCAAGCTAGCTAACCAGCTAGCTAACCAGCTAGCTACATGAGCATGTCGTAACGAATGCGGCAACTAATACGTAACTTTAAGCCAACACAAACACCTCTCCTTTAAGACATGTCAAACGCCCACGTTAGCGACAACAAACCAGCCGTAAAACTCGAGAGGGTTTTCTTTTTCTAGGGTTCACTTCCAGCTAAAAACGTTGCCTATCTTTCTGTAGCTTTAGCAGCAGAAGTCAACATATGACGCACTACGGCAGGCCAGCGGGATCAAATGCTGCATTCAGGTCCAGTTCACAATGTCTCATTAAAATTATAATGACCTCCAATTTCCTGTGTAAAAGTTTTACATTATTTTTATGCGTAAACATTGAATGATTATTAAGAAATAAACATATGGTCACAAGTGTTATTCTTTACATTAGTCCCTCGTCTACGTCTCTGCGCATGCGCGGACGGATTCTTGTAGCTGCGCGTGAAAGTCATCCAACGTTGCGGTGCTGTGTGCTATCGGCGTGTTTGGCAGGAATTTCTCGGTCAGGCTGTTATGGCGCTTAGAAGATGCTGGAGGTTGGCAAGATTTCTCCCGAGACTCCCCGTCCCGCTAGTGTCATCATCCTATATCGGACGGGTAACTGTGTCCAGCTTTGGTAACACTTACAGCGGCTACAAAAGTGAGTTTTACTCAAGGGAATAATCGTATCGCGGTGAGGTCCATATATAAACCTTATATCGGTGTGTTTGTTTTGTTTTCAGAAAGTGAGTTTCAGCGCATGAGGTTCAGCTCTGAAGCCCGAAACACAGACGTAGATTACGAGCAGCTGAAGCGGCTCCTGGCTGAGGGGAAAACAGCGGTGGTAGATGTCCGAGAGCCATGGGAGCTCAGGGAGTATGGATTCATCCCTGGGTCAGTGAACGTCCCATGTGAGTAAAAAAAAAAAAAAAAAAAGAGCTCGGGTTATCTTTGTTGCCTTGTTTTATTGTCTTTATATGATCTATATGGTTTAAAATTTGACAACGCGTGCCTCATTAAAGTGTTATTTTTATCTAACGGTGACTTCTTATCTCTCATGTTCGTGTTGCCTTCATGGCCCAGTGGGACAGGTGAGCTCTGCCCTCCAGCTTGCTCCTGAGGAGTTCAGAGAAAAATATGACGGGGAAATGCCGAGACAAACGGATAATGTTGTCTTTGTGTGTCTGGCTGGGGTCAGAAGCAAGACTGCACTCAACACAGCCGCCTCCCTGGGATATAGAGAGTAAGAAGCCCTCAGATTATTAATTTAAAAGGCCATATTCCTTTGTTTTCATTTTAATTACACAATTTAATATATTCAATTTATTTAAAATGTATGGTTTAAAATTTCTTTTAGAAAAAAAACAAAAAATAAATAAAATGTTACTCTTTATTTATATTTTATCATCCCCTTTTCCTAATACCCCTAAATGAAATCTAGGGCAACCGGTTGCTTTGAAATATAATCTAGTAGAGACCGTTGTGGTTTTTTTTTGTGTGTGTGTGTTTGTTTTTCTCAGTCATAGACACAGAGATCTACAGCTCAGGTCGTAGACTCACCCCCCCTTCCAGGAAAATCCTGGTTATACTTCATAAATTAAATGCATGAGGAACAAACATGCCATTCCTACTGTGGTGCATGGTGGTGGCAACATCATCCACTTCCTGAGGGTTGGTATCCTGTGACTGTTGAATCCAACACACCTGAATCAAATGACTGAATTACCTCTTTAGTATACATGCTGTTTCTCCAGATTCCTCTTGGTCATCGTATTAACTGGTTCATGTGTGTTGGACTGAGGAAACATCTAAAAGTTGCAGGCTATCGGCCCCCTTACGGCCAATTTATGCTTCTGACGCATAACCTCTACAACCGTCAAATCTGTCTCTGTGCGCGACCATGCCCCCCGCGCAGAGGTTCTGCAACCGCCGTTGCGCACCTCAAATAAATCCTGGCTACACGTCAGACGGTCATAAACCCGCGCAGACCTCAAGTGAAAGTCCGCAGACAAAAAGCAGTTGTGATTGGTCCTTGGTATGCCTTTCCGGCTGTCTGTGTGGTCGTCCTTCT